GTTGAGGTTACTAACCAACAGTGACATTGTCACCAATAAGGATTGGCAAGACTTTTCCACCTAAATTGGATTTGGCTACGTGAACAAGAGAATTGTCTTAAATGTTGGTTCCAGATCCGATACTGATGCTGTTCGCATAACCTGTATCAAAGAAAATACATTCAAGCTTTTAAGCATAATAATAGCAGGGAACACCATACCAGTACCAGGAGGAACCCTGTAGACATACCATAGAAATAAGAAAACTGTATCTTGGTGATGCTTTATAGGTCTATTTATATTTCAGTTACACACTGTTGAAACATCAGATTTTGTGATGAGAACCTTTTTCATCCCGTGAAAAAAAATATCATAGAATCAATTTTTAACCAAAATAAATGAATATGATAAATGCAATTAATCTTTGTGTAAAATTACACACATGTAACAGTTCTCATCGATATATCATTAAAAAAACAAAAGAAATTTGGTTCTCTTTTTTCATTTGTTTGGTCTAGCTTGCTTCTTTCTAAATGCTTAACCAAACCAACCACTGGCAGAGTGTTGTGAACGTGGGTAGAAACAACAATAGCTTAAGAGATGGCATTTTTACAACCCACTTGAAAATTGAAAAATAAACAACAGCAACAAAATTCCAGGGGGCTAACAGAACTCAAAACAATGAGCAAATAAATTTTAGTGATTAACAAAGATAGAAGGAGGCACCAGAAACCATCTGACAAAAAACTAAAAAGTTAGAATTGCATTGATAGATCTTAAGGGTCTTGTTGACTAAATGCTCACTGAATTCACCTTCACTCTAAACCTAAGGTAAGATGGAGCTCAAGACTGCTAAACAAGAGTCATGCTAACTCTGAACTCAAAAGGTCACAAATAAATAACACTAGTACAACGCCCGTGTATACACGGGTGCTTGGTAAAAAATTATTTTTATGTTTTAAAATTAATGAAAAAAATTATTTTAATTTTATTTACTTGTTTACATAAAATATATATATTATTATATATTTTAGATTGACACTTGTTTCTGTGCGACTTACATGTGTTTTATTATACTAATTTTTATAACTTATATCATATAACTACTTGAAATATAAATATATTAAATGATAAATTAATTTATTTTTCTCATTAATATTAAAAATAATTTTATTATTGTTATAAAAATAAATATAATTTATTTTTTTATACATAGAATATAAATGTTAAATCGAAGCTCATCAAGAGATGATTAATTTGATATATTATATATATAAAACCTTAAAAAATACAAAAGTTTTTATTTTAAAATGCATTTACAATTCAATGGTTATGATAAGAAATGAATTAAAATGCAATTAATACATGTAACATGACCATATATAATCAACATATTTATCAATAATCCAGACCTAATTATTTTTGGATTTAAGTAAATTAAAATCTACCCAAGCCTAATAACGAAGCATGTAATTTTGCCACATAGGATTCTGAAGCATGCGAGTCTGCCACTTAGGCAGCACATTATGGATTAATATATTTTGTCACATAGGATCCTGAAGAATGCGAGTCTGTCACTTAGGCTCAGCACGTTTTGTATTAATATATAGGGGAAATTATGATTAAAATCATCACAACTGAGTTCGGATAGTCATGTTGCAACCATGATTCCACTAGTATATAATACAGCTTAGAGCAATGGAAAACATAATACAAATTATGCACCAACATTTTGCAAAGCCAAGAGCAAATGAGAAAAATGAAAATCCAGAACTTCGGAAGCAACCTTAAGCAAGGACCCGAGGATATTTTAAGTAACTTGAGGCAATTAAACAGAAGCGGAAGGGGCCAACAGGCTACCAATCAAACATACGGTGTGGTCAAGAACTATAGAAGAGTTCATGCAATGAAACAAAGTAAATGGCCAGCAGAATATAAACTGCAGTATAACCATAATAGATGCAGAAAGGAATCACAATGAAAAGAAACGGAACAAAGTGCAACACTTAAATTTCATTACCAACCTCTCTTCAAGATAATTAGTACATTTTCTTCACGGGACACTTAATTTTTGGAACATTTCCATAATTACATGCTACTACTAATTCAGCTAAAGGTTTTTCATTTTTGTTTTTGTATTTTTTATTTTTTTATTTTTTTAATTTCTTTTTTCCATGAGAGATAGAAGCAATCTTGAACCAGATACCCACAGTATTTGCACACCGTAAAATAATTAGCCGAAATGAGACATTGATGTAACACAATAATGAAGGTTTCACCTTTTAACAGCAATCAAAGTAAATTAGAAACCAGAAGCAACAGCTATACTTGATACGAGTAATAAAATACCTCTGAGAACACATCCATACCAAATGGAAGAATTAGTTCCAACATAGACACCCCCAACAATGGATGCACCGGGGGTCACAAAGGCATTCTTGTCAACCACTGGAACTTTGTCAAATAAGTTCATGAGTGTTCTGTGTCTGGAAACTAGAAACAAACGAGAACCGGAAAAAAAAAATAAATAAATAAAAAAAAAAGCAATTCAAAGTTATTTAAGAATGTGTAGAAAACTCAAAACTTGCTGCAGAAATAAAAGGCATGAACTAACAGGTTAAAATATCCCATCAATCCAACAAGTTTCCTCAATCTTTTTGCAGTTAGCAGCAATGAAAATGCATAAGTAATACATATGTTCTTCTGTTTGGAACACTCCACAGCGTACGCCGAGAATCATAATTAGGGTAAAAAAAAAACACAATTGCTAGCTGGCTTTCATGAATCCAAATTCATATCTTTCACTCAAATCACACCAATCGTAAATGCAAACTTGAAAAACAGAACAAATAACCAAATGCCGGCAGCGGACGCCGAAATGAACCATTAGGTTAGACCAGAAAGAACGAAAAATTACTTACCTTGTTCTTGGAAAAGATGGGTTCCCTGCAGGCGCGAGCCGAGCCGATCGAGGGCTTGGCCGGTTTCACTGATCAAGAACCCAACGCTGTAGAAAGCTCTCCCCAGAGATCCCATCCTTCCTCTCCTGTTTCGCGTTTTTTTTTTTTATTTCTTTCACCTGAATTTGAAATGTTGTGGCTGCGATTATAAGATTTGAGGTTCAAAACCCTAGTGAGATGGAGGTTCGATTTGGTGACCAATTTTTTTTTTTTTTATTGGTAAATGTATATTTATTTATAGATAATACAAACAGACCGAAAGGCAGGCATACAAAAGCGGCAGCCACAAGCTCGGCTCGTGAGCTCCTCACTCTGCATATGAAAGGTATAAGAGGACAAACACAAGTCGGTTGTTTGTTCAAGTCTCTAATAAGACTTGGTTTCTATTTTGTTATATTTATTTTTTGACTTCAGTGGCAGGTCGATGGAGTTCACTATGCAGATCTCGGTGGTAGGTCGATGATCTTTATTTGGTTTTGGGTATGTCGAATTTATTTTTCGATCCCAGTGGTAGGTCGATGGAGTTTATTACGGATAGCTCGAGCAGACCTCGACGGTAGGTCGATGATCTTTATTTGATTTGGTTATGTCGAATTCATTTTTTGACCTCAGTGGCAGGTCGATGGAGTTCAATGCGGATAGCTCGAGCAAGTAGGTGATTTTTACTTTATTTGATTTTGTCGAATTTATTTTTCGACTTCAGTGGCAAGTCGAAGAAGTTCATTTAGAGCAACTAATGGGAGTTTACTTGCAGACTTCGATGACAAGTCGATGATCTTTATTTGATTTGGTTTTGTCGAACTTATTTTTCGACCTTAATGGCAGGTCGAGGAAGTTCATTTGGAGCAACTCAGGGAGTTTATTTGCAGACTTCGGTGGTAGGTCGATGATTTTTATTTGATTTCGGTTTTGTCAAAATTTTTCGATCTCAGTGGCAAGTCGATTGAGCTCATTTGATGCAATTCACGGAGACTACTCGAGGACCTTGGTGGCAGGTCGATGATTTTTACTTGATTTGATTTTTACTAATGCATAATTATTAGAAAGATAATGTGTCCCAAATTTAAATAAAAGACAAATAACTTTACTAAGAAAAGACAAATTGTCAGAGAAATAACTAATCAAGAAACTAAATAAATTACTGTTGATTGTTGATTCAGTTCTTCTTCTTCTTTATGTTGACCATTGAGATGGTTTCCTTCCTTTGCTTTTGTACTTTTCATTGTACATTTCTTAGCAAGACTACTAATTGTCTCACGATCTTATACTTCAATAACACAATCATTTTCTCTTCTACTATGTTGGGTGGTCGTCTGCCTCGACTCGTCGGGCCTGGGTTGACCCCGAACAGCCTCTTGTAGGTCTTGGACAGCACCCGGTAGATCCCTGACAACACTCGGTAGACCCGAACAGCACTCGGTAGGTCTCGGATAGCACCCAACACCTGGTAAGTCCCGGACAACACCCGGTCGACCCCGGACACGTCCCGGTTTGTCCTCTTCAAGCTGAAATCGAAAATTACCAATAAATAAACAAATCAGCAATCAAACAGCATAAATAAATTGAGGTGATTAAAATAAATTGGAGATGAATAAGAACGACTACACCATTTTGGCGAGTTCTCGAATGAGGGCCCAAATGCTATGAATGCCTCAAAGATGGGTCAAAGTAACCAGGCTCAATCCCCTTTTGTCAGTCCCTAAAATGAGTTACCAAAGAGCCGACAAAGAATCGATCAATTGGACCTGTGGCCACAACAACTGCAGCACTGTAAGCTCAGTGGTGACACCATTGGTTGTCGCACAAAGTTCGGCCCGAAAACAGCCCGTACACAAACTCCCAAAAATCCCTCTCAATAACTAACTCGGCAGACACGAAGAAGACCCCTAGCACACTCATAATCTCATTATCACAAAGATGCAAAAAGATAAGAGAGAATTGGATATGTAGACACTAAGTCAATTGAAGAACCTATTCACCTATACATGAAGACTATTAATATTAGTATCGATTAATCTTTATGTCTAAATGCTTAATAAGTACTAATATCCTTCTTTTGTTATGTATGATAGGTATACCTCACTAAACGAACTCTTTTACAATTGTAATTAGCTATCTTCTTTTGTTGCACGTCATATAAGATGCCTACACTGAAAACTACTTATGTTTATCTTTTGTAGACTTAAAAGCATCTCTATTTGTTGCTTATATTAAGATCTCTACTTTTGTTGTATGTATTATAAGATGTCTACATTCAGATCTCCTGAAATATGAGATGCGTATTCAGAAAACTCCGTATTTTGTTTTGAATTTGGCATAAGAATACCTATGTGTATTGTGACAGTGCTCCTTAGTTACTTAGTGGGCATGGCCGTGCTGTGCACCACCAAGGATTATCGAGTTTATGTACATGTATAGAGCTAACGAAACTAACGAAAATGACCCAGCATAGCACAAACTAAAAACACTAACAATAGTGAGATAAATGATCATGTCCGACACCACGCTTCACTTTGTACAATCAACGTTCCATTTATGAACCCTTAAGACTGTTTGAATCACATTAAGCTTAAGCAGCTCGGTATCTCTACTACCTATGTACGTTACAAACTGAGACCGGTAGTTCTTCAAGAAAGAGCTTGAACCACTGAAATCATTCTGCCTGCAAACAACCATCAAAAGTTCTCTTCCAGATTAAAGTGACCCGATTTTTCGAAGCTCCAGTAAGTCATCGAAAAAGTACAGTTTATAGTCCTTAACCATGCAACCAGTGCTACTGCATAACACGTGCGTACCTTTAGCTCATAGGGAACTCACTAATCTTGCAAAGTAATACTGAAACGAATTGCAATATTAGTTTGCTGCTCATAAAGCTTGAAGAGAAGGTGCGTGTGTTATTGTCGAGAGCCAATCCAAAAGGGCCTCGTTCACGAGCTCCGGGACTTCATCATGCGGGCAGTGTCCGGCCTGTAGGTTAACTAAAGAAGTGTTTGGATAGAATTCTTTGATCCTGAGAGCTTTAGAAGGACCAACCCAAGGATCCAAGTCGCCCCACACCAATAGCAATGGGCAAGACAGCTGGCTCAACACGCTGTCCAGTGTGTACTTCCTTTGGTTCGACATGAATCTCGTCATTAGTCTGCACAAAATAGTGAAGATATAGAGAGTTTTAAATTAGATTTTGTTCCAAAAAGATAATTTAGAACAATCTCCAAGTATGAGCTTTCTGAGAATCGAGGATTGACTGATTTTTATAGAAATTTTGATCCCCTGCCTACGGTGGGCAGTTTAATTGAAAAACGTATTCTCAGAATACGTTTTTCATATAAAACAAACTGGTGGGCACTGCCCACCGTGGGCAGGTGAGCAGGGAGCAGGACTATTTTTATAGAAGTGATTTTTGTATTGGTTACATAATTAATATACATAAAAAATTTACAGCAAATATATTAGTTACCTATTGGTAATATTTATTTATTATAAATTACAGTTCACGTATTTATAAATTAGCAACTTAAAAATTTGTACATCTAGTAATTTTAAACCAACAATAGTTGTTAAGTTAATAGTATTTAATTATTCACCATAAATTTATCATATAAGCCTATAATATTATAAATAAATATACCTGATAAAAATACTTGCCAAATCTTGTTATAATTGATTTTATAACAGAAACCCCGCTATTCGCTATTAATCATTATGAAACATTCTATAGAACAAACGAGTCGAACCAGATAATACAATCAGCTTCCAATTATTCGCCAATGCAATCGGCTAACCTCTACGCTAATAGCCAAACAGGCCTATAATCTTGTTTTCAAAGACATACTTACGACAAAAAAAATTAAAAAAATAAAATAAAAAATCCTCGAAACATTAGAACAACCCCCATAAACTAGGATTTAGTTTCTTATTTTTTTTTTTTTTTAAAATAACAAGGTCTTCTCAATTGGGTTAGAGTATGCAGTAACAATTACCCTGTCGATAGACAAACCCATAAGTTGGACAGTTGAAAGCATGCATTATTCCAGTGCAGATGCAGTCAATGATAGAGCAAAAGATTTTTTCTAGATTTGCAACGAATAACAGGACAAGGATTTAACAAGAGGCTCATAAAACTTCAGGAATCGGAAGCCCATACCTGTAATAAACTTCCCCAGCATTTGGGTCATCTGCAGGCCTTGTAATTGAATCAATGAGATAGTCATCCACATTGGTAGCATTAACATACACCTTGAGATAAACAGAGAAGAAATTCAATATATACCTCAGACTATCAGAGAAGAAACTCCGATCACATGCAAAAATTAAGAACATCTTCTAGTTTACGCTCCTATTGACAACACAGCGTCTTGCATGTCTCACATAAAAGATAAAAAGAAATTAAACGGTAAAAGAACAATACCCGATGTTTTTGATATATATTTAATGCCAACACCAGGTCAATTTAAGCACGGTGATGGATAAAATTAGACAATTGAGAGCAATATTCTGTACTAAGGAAATGACGTACACTTTTCAACACGGACTCTATGCGTGCTGGTTGCTTGGCTTGCCAGAACAAAAACCCAAGAGCCACGCGCTGAAAAGCCTCCTTCAGTGGCTTGAGAACAAATTTTTGCAAGGCATTTTGTTCGGCCTCTGGCTGTGTATTGATGGCATCACCAAACTGTCCAGCGCTGTTTAGCAATACGACCCCCTTCACTTGATCCTGCAGCAATGCTGCCGCCACCAAAGCAGTAAATCCTCCTAGACTACAGAAGTCATGCATGTGAATAAACATTTTGAAAAAGGAATAAAATAAATTATTACAACACGTCACTAAGTAAAAATTGGGTGGTTATTCACAAGGCAAATGTAGGATTTCATAATACAATAAGAACTCAACGTGCTAGAAAGTCCTGCTTGTTTGTTGTTTACCACCAAGTCCAGATATGAATAGCAGTCTAAATATGTCCCATAATGAAAAGACTGAGAACTCGGCAGCTCGTACGGCCAACTATTCAGAAATTGTCCTTAGGTGTCAGATGAACAATTTTCCGGGCAGTTAGCGACTTAAAACTAAGGATCCATTGAATTAATTCAGGAAAAATCTCTCAGTTGCAATATTAATTAATTAAACATCAATTGAGGCTAAGAGAACACCTGGTACAGCTATTAATGAACAGTATCATAGATGACATTCGTTTAGCTTTTATTTGGGATGTGAAATTCAAAATGTTAGTGTAAGGAATTCAGAGAAACTCATGCACCATTCCCTCTGTAATGCTTTAAGTAGCAATTGTATCATATTAGTGGTAACTGAATACATCAACTCTCATGCTGTTCGCAATTAAGTGATAAGCTGAGCAAAAATAACGCATTTCAGCTTCATAAGATAACAACAATATCTTGTAGCATGCTCGAAGACACATAAACGACCATAAACAACATAAATGCTGCTAAAATGATATTGTGATATCCTCGAGTGCATGTGTTTACAATGTTTGTACGCCAGATGACAGGGAAATCAAGCATGTAGAACGTCAACATGTTGTAACAAGTACAAAGACCCATCTTGAGTACAAACATTCAGGAATTTAGAACATCAACATATTGTAACAAGTACAAAGACTCACGAAAATGAAAAGATAAATATTGAAAAGAAAAAAATAAAAATAAAAATAAAAAAAAACCACTTACCTATTTCCAACTAAAACTGTGGGTTCTTTAACTATCTCCTTCACAAAATCCGCGACTTGATCTCTCCACACCAGAGCATCATACTCAATGAGCGCCTTCTCACTCCATCCAAAACCCAGCAAATCTAGGGCATAGACTTTATATTTTTTTGCTAATTCAGGTATGTTGTACCTAGAAGAGAGAGTAAAAGGGAGCAGGGAAATCAACAAAATTTGTTTTCCGAATATGGTGTACAGTAGTACAAAATACTGAGTCCAAAGGAAAAACTGGGAGCACAATATGACCAACAACTCCCAATCAGCAAACAGTGCATTCAGTTACATATGATGCAAATGCAATTGAATTAGGACTGCAAATTGAAAAGTTTACATGAGTTCAAATTTAGCACAAGAAAAAACATGTAATGACAATGCATTTCTATAGGACCCGTTTTCGGAGAAAACTATGAATTCTAGCAACACAAAGACCTCATTAAAGTTTACAAGCTTCGGTACAAAAGTATGATAAAGAAAAAGATAACCTCCAATGAAATGCCGAAGCTCCAAACCCATGAATTAGAACAATGGGGAACCCTTCACCTTCGACCACATAATGTATCTTTCGATCTCTCCATGTCCAGTAACTGTAGCCCTCTGATTTAAACGGCAATTTCTCCAACCCTAGGTAACACACCAAGCAACCCAACCATATTTTCAGAATCCCCACAGTAAAAAATTACATATTACAAAAATAGAGTGAACTATGCCTTGCGCTCTCGAAGGTCCTGCAGCAACTGTGGCCGCCATTACAGAAGCTCCAGCGACGACAATTCCTTTAAACGCAAAATCTCTCCGACCCAATCCGCATCTGCTTCCTACACATGTTTTGGAACAGAAAATTAAGCAAAAAGCTGAACTCTTTCCATGTCTAACTAGATTAGAAGTTTATGAGCAGCTTACTGTGAGCATGAAGTCTTGAATAACTTCTACTGCCTAAAAGCTCCGACTTCAATGAATTTGGTAAAGAAGCGCATGAAGCTGACATCGAACCTGTCGAAGGCCCGACACAGATAAAAGGGTTTTTTTTTCTGGGATTTGTGGAGGTAATCAGAGTTTGATCAGAAAAATGTGAACGAGCAAATGGAGATTTTTGTTTAAACTTAGTAGAGATTGCTTGATTTTGTGTTTTAAAAGAGTAGAGAGAGAGGAAATGTATGTGGAGTTTGGAGTTTGATGATGAGTGGTTGGAGTGCGTTTCTAAGTTGTGGCGAAGCTGTAATACAAGTCGCGCGTTTATGTTCTGCAAAATTTTCTGAATAAAGTCGGAAATTTTTCGTTGCGGAAAATATTGAGATTCTCCCAATATAGCACTCTAGATTATAAGACTTTGAATAGTACATGTCCATCAATAATACTCCTCTATCTACGTTGGGTACATGTTAATATGTTCACCGTTTATGTAACATGCACACATTGGTGATGTTAATATGTTCAAAAAAATACATCACCAATTTGTGTATGTCACATAAACAGTGGACATATTAACATGTGTCCACCGTGAGTAGAGGAACATTCACAATCTTCATTTTTATGTCATTAAAGTCCAAAGTTACTCGTTGGAGTTTGGACTTTGACAATCGTGGATCCTTTGAACTTATGTTCTAAGATGCATCTGGCGTCGTTGGCAATCGTTCATTGAATTATCATCTTTTGTCGTGTTTGATCAACGACATTTAGAATTGCAAGTAGAGTTCAAAAGTTTGCCTCTTTTGGCATGCGTTCCAAATTTGTCCAAGTATCTCTTGGTTAGGGTACCCATCAATTACATTATGTAGCCTATTATCTGGAGCTCTTTTAATTGTTGGATGTTTCCAGTCATTCTTCACGCTTTCACATGCTTTTTTTTTTTCAGTGAACGGAAGAAGATAGTCGTCATCAATTTTCAGAAGGAGTAGTTCGAGTAATCTAGTTGTGGAGGTATCGACATGGATATACCGACCATCATGATTCATGATTACCCATGTACAAGTCTATAGGATCTTCGTAAAAAAATGAATGAAAACATTCTATAGGATCTTCGTAAAGAATGAATGAAAACACTCTTTAATCCCAAAAAATTGGGTTTTACAGAATTGCGCTTTAAAACACTAAAGAATGAACGTTCACTCAAATTGCATAAACATTCAATCATAAATTGAATTCTCATGAGAGCATCCTACTCTTCCTCGGAATTCTTGCATTCAAATAAGTGTTTAACAACAAGTACAACTAAGATTTACAACAAAGACTCTCTCTTCCTAACCTACGTTGCACTCACACTTGTCTAACTACTTTTCTGGTCAGTCCTCGTGGACTTTGGTTTGTTGCATTGATCCTTCTATGCAATGTATGTGCTCGTCACAAGCAATGAAAAACTGCTTACAAAAATATGTGAGTCAAATCAGAGTTGATTGTATTCTAATTGAGCACCATTAACAATAAAATAAAGGCAAAATAGCTCGTTATATCACAACCTTTTACTAAATTGATAAAACATCACGACTTTTGGACCTTGGCGGAGAATATCACAATCTTTGATTTGTTTGCAAAACGATACACGAAAGTCGAAAACCGACCTTCGTTACATTACTTAAAATCATTTAACGAAAATCTGAAAGTATCATCACCTCCGAAACACTCTTTATTGTTATCAATAGTTACAAATCTTCCTCCATAGTGTATCAAAGATGGCCGGTTTCTGACTTTCGTGTATCGTTTTGCAAAAAAATCAAAGGTTGTGATATTCTCCGTCAAGGTCCAAAAGCCGTGATGTTTTAGCAATATGGTAAAAGGTCGTGATATAGCGAGCTATTTTGCCTAAAATAAAACATAGATAATTCTCTTTACACTATCTCGCACACTTCGCAAGATAACAATCGTCACAGTTCACAAAACGAAGAGTGCGAGACTACTAACATACAACTTAATATGAGGCAAGTAAGCTCTTCAGCAACTTCCAAATATATACTCTCTCATTTAGGTAGGTGTGTGTGTGTGTGTGTGTGTGTGTGTGTGTGTGTGTGTGTGTGTCCAGGTTCATGCAATCAGATTAGCGCGTCCCTCTTTTCCATGTATGGTAAGTTTCCCTTTTGTCCGCTTGATCTTCTTCTCCAAGTAAGTTAAACTCTCTTGATTTAAGTTGATTTTCCATGATCCCATGAAAGGCTATATATCTTCAATCTTCCTACAAAATTAAACAAGTAAATCGATACAAGACTTAATAAAGAATTAAATTGAATAAAAGAAAAGGAGTCGAGGCTTCCTTTAGTCTTTAAGTAGGTATCCAAGTTGCCTACACAAATAAAATTGACGTAAGGATATAATCAAGATTTGTGATTTAATGCCAAACTTAAACTTATAACAACGATCACTGTGTCCAGGTGCGTCGGGTTGATGATGCCCCTGAAATTAGCTCAAGAAGGATTATTATCCAAGCCCGACCAGAGGATTAAATCCGACATAATAATAAGAAATTGAGTGGTACTAATTTCGAATCAAGAAGTTGATTAATCATATTTTCAGAAATTAAATTAATCAATGGATGTTAAATTTTTAATATGGGGAGGTAAATCGAGCAAATAAATTGGGAGAAAAATTAATTGTGATTTGGGGCTAAATTGGAAGTTCAATTATAACATTTTTGTAGTGGAATAAATATTACTCAAACATGAATGGTATAAGTTTACAATTGCGTTCACACTTAGAAAATTTTTATTAGCACCTCTTTTGGGTCCCTATTGTAGTGTATAAATATATGAAGTCCCCAAGGCCTCATATAAGTTATACACATTTCTTTAAGCGTGAATAGTTAGTTTCTCATCCTAAATATTTTGGCAAAAACGAGAGGATATGACTTCAGATAAAGCACCAGGGGATGATGGTATTGTCAGCTCTGTTTTTCCAAAAATTCCGACACATTGTGAAAGATGGTGTTTGTAAGGATGTCTACAGTTTTTTT